TGAACCCTATATTGGAAGGCTCATGATTTGGTGTGGCAATGGATGTTGCTGCACATGAACAATGCCTAAATTGCAGTATTGTTCACTCATGAATTTATCAGAGATGGTAATGCATGTGCCAAGGATGTGGTGCTGGTTCATATACTCTAGTGCCATATCAAAGAAATTGAGATTCTAGTCATCAGGTTTGTTAATCTGGTGCAGAAATCTTGCACCATCAGATTTTAGGCTCTTTCCAGTCTGAATTGACAGGCCACAAGTTATTTTTGATTGACAGGCAATGTACTTGCAGAAGTTACCTATTTGTGTTACACTTGTCACCTGTCGTGGTTTATGGTTTATTTAATTGCTTTTGACTATACTAATATGCTTGTGTTTTGTTGCTTAATTTCAGACAGTTATTTTGAAATTTAAGAATTCCACTTCAAAAAAACCCTTTGAACATTTGGGCACTCAGCTTCAAAATGTGACAGGTATTCTGGGACACCTTGTTGGTCTAAATTTGTAATTTTATATGGGGAATATTCCTCAAACTTTCAGAGAAACCCACACGATTGAATTCACTTGATATGATATGTGTGAGAAGTGCTCGTGGTACTTAGCAGAAATTAGGGCATAATAGGAATTACAGTTCCCACTCTTTGCAATTATGCAATTATAAGCCCTGCAAACTCTCTTGGTAGAATATGGTGATGACCTGTTCTGAAAAGTGTTTTAGACTATGCTCAAAACAAGACATGCAATTATCTAATGAATCATCTTGCAACTGTCCTGAAAATGAAACTTTTACTTATCTCAGTTACTATTTTGGGAAGTTTGCTATTGCAACTTGTGGCATTTTAAAAGTAACATCAACATTGAATGGATATTGGTACAGACTTATGAGATATATATGAGATGGTTACTGGATACTATTATCTTACCCAGATGGCTAGCCTATTGAATAAAAATGAGTGTCTTGGAAAAGTTTATTTGACAATCACTCTGATTATAGCTGTTTTTTGTCATTGCATGTGACTTCCACTTTTGACCATTGCTCAGATTCTTTCTCTTATATTGAACCTGTGCAACTCCCAATGGATTGTCCTAGGTCTACTTCTGAAATGAGAGATCTCAATGGACATGATACTTGACTGGGTACTACTACAATTAATGCTAAAATCACTGGCATTGGGACATGATTCATATGCATAGGGCCATCGTGTCTAGGTGTGAAATTTTAATATTGTATTTTAAATATTTGTAGTTTTTGTCAGAGAGGTGATTTGTTTCCAAACAAATGTATGAATTGCTCTAAGATCTTTGTGATTTGCAAGTATCAGAAGATGGAGAGTTGGTAGTCCTGTTGGTGAACATTTTCTAAGATGTACTGAGTAAAGGCCTGGACGCAAGACCTGTTCATCCATCATGATACCTTATCCAGAATGCATCTCAGAAACATAAAACCTGCACTTCATCAGGAATAAGATTATGCTTAAAAAACTTAAGAAGCAAGAAGTCAGCCTTGTCTNAGATGAAGGAAAGGTGTAGAACAGTTGAAGATGGAGTCTGAAATCTATATGTACTGTAGATTTCTTGTATGTAGATCTTTGAAGGTGGAAGCCAAGATTTGATGCATGACAGTGTATTTCATTGCAAGTATGCTATAATAAGAAGAGACTTGAGAAAGTCCTGGATTTTTGTGGATTAAGATTGTTCCTTGGGGATGTACTTTAGCACTCTAAAAGATTGATGTTTTTCTCATGATGAAGACAATCATATTTCACTGCTGTATTGAAGAAGGGGTGCACAGACATATAGTGTTGGGAAGTAATACTGTACTTGTACCATTTTTTGTTGCATAATTTAGTAGTTAGTACTAGTAGTAAGTTTTTTTTCCCAGTCGTATACATTGGAAGATGCAAAAAACTTTTCTCAAAGTCACAACTGCTTTTTACATTTTTTATATTTATTATATTCCCAAAAAAGTGGATGAGGGAAGCTATTAAATTTCTGAGAATTGTTACTACAGGAAATTGTGACCTAGATATATGGTATATAGTTCTAAAAAAAATCTGAGTGGTGAGAGGCCAGGACAGGAAAGTGCAGCCACCTGCCCAGATCTCCAGCCCTGAGACTCTGGCCCATGGGTCACTGGTCTCAGACTCCCTAATTTCAAAAGCTAGGGGAGTGGGAAACCAGTGCTGTTTAACCCTATACAGCATAGATGCGTTTTGAAATGCAACATAGTTTGAAGCATCTGTCATGCAGTAGACAGTGCCGGCACCTCTCCAGTGCATCACACCAGTGCCAGCACAAGCCACATAACAGTACCAGTGATGTTGTGATGTGCTGGAGGGGCAGTGGTGCTGTGCACTACTTAGCAGATGCTCAAAACTATTGTGTTTCAAAACACTGATGCATTGGGTTAAGCATTTTTAAAAGTTTTTTCTTAGATGATAATTTAAAAAATTCAATCTGGAAGGAATTATTACATCTTTCTGCTGCAGCTGCATTTGACTTGTAGTCATAATTAGTTCTTTTTTGTAAGAAACTAAACAGAGATTGAAGCAAGAAAGAGCAGATTCTTTGAGTTGTTGGCAATGAGGGTAACTTCTATCTGCACTACATCTTACGATTAAAGATTGATGGCAACTTGCCATTTGATGGTTCAATGCTAGAAAGAACCAGGTTATATTACTTTTTGTTTCCAATTCTGCATTGAACCCTATATTGAAAGGCTCATGATTTGGTGTGGCAATGGATGTTGCTGCACACGAACAATGCCTAAATTGCAGTATTGTTCACTCATGAATTTAACAAAGATGGTAATGCATGTGCCAAGGATGTGGTGCTGGTTCATATACTCTAGTGCCATATCAAAGAAATTGAGATTCTATTCATCATGTTTGTTAATCTGGTGCAGAAATCATGCACCATCAGATTTTAGGCTCTTTCCAGTCTGAAGTGACAGGCCACAAGTTATTTTTGATTGACAGGCAATGTACTTGCAGAAGTTACCTATTTGTGTTACACTTGTCACCTGTAGTGGTTTATGGTTTATTTAATTGCTTTTGACTATACTAATATGCTTGTGTTTTGTTGCTTAATTTCAGACAGTTATTTTGAAATTTAAGAATTCCACTTCAAAAAAACCCTTTGAACATTTGGGCACTCAGCTTCAAAATGTGACAGGTATTCTGGGACACCTTGTAGGTCTAAATTTGTAATTTTATATGGGGAATATTCCTCAAACTTTCAGAGAAACCCACACAATTGAATTCACTTGACATGATATGTGTGAGAAGTGCTCGTGGTACTTAGCAGAAATTAGGGCATAATAGGAATTACAGTTCCCACTCTTTGCAATTATGCAATTATAAGCCCTGCAAACTCTCATGGTAGAATATGGTGATGACCTGTTCTGAAAAGTGTTTTAGACTATGCTCAAAACAAGACATGCAATTATCTAATGAATCATCTTGCAACTGTCCTGAAAATGTAACTTTTACTTGTCTCAGTTACTATTTTGGGAAGTTTGCTATTGCAACTTGTGGCATTTTAAAAGTAACATCAACATTGAATGGGTATTGGTACAGACTTATGAGATATATATGAGATGGTTACTGGATACTATTATCTTACCCAGATGGCTACCCTATTGAATAAAAATGAGTGTCTTGGAAAAGTTTATTTGACAATCACTCTGATTATAGCTGTTTTTTGTCATTGCATGTGACTTCCACTTTTGACCACTGCTCAGATTCTTCCTCTTATATTGAACCTGTGCAACTCCCAATGGATTGTCTGAGGTCTACTTCTGAAATGAGAGATCTCAATGGACATGATGCTTGACTGGGTACTACTACAATTAATGCTAAAATCACTGGCATTGGGACATGATTCATATGCATAGGGCCATCATGTCTAGGTGTGAAATTTTAATATTGTATTTTAAATATTTGTAGTTTTTGTCAGAGAGATGATTTGTTTCCAAACAAATGTATGAATTGCTCTAAGATCTTTGTGATTTGCAAGTATCAGAAGATGGAGAGTTGGTAGTCCTGTTGGTGAACATTTTTCTAAGATGTACTGAGTAAAGGCCTGGACGCAAGACCTGTTCATCCATCATGATACCTTATCCAGAATGCATCTCAGAAACATAAAACCTGCACTTCATCAGGAATAAGATTATGCTTAAAAAACTTAAGAAGCAAGAAGTCAGCCTTGTCTTAAACAATAATGATTGGTCTAGAGATTAAAGGTTGTTCTAGAACACATAACTATATGGCGCACAGTTCTCTAAAGGTGACTTTTTGACTCAGTGTTGATTCCTTTTGAATTGACCTATGGCTGGAAGGAATTGGAAAGTGAATAAGAATGAAACCCAGCATGCTCCAAAGCCACCAATAGCATTGAGAGATGCCAAAACCTTCATCTAGGTACTGTTTCAGTCATCTGAAAATGCTGAATGTTCATATTGACTAATGGAATTGATATTTTTCTTGCTATTTCATGCAGTGAGAGAGTTAATTGATTTAAATGATTATTTCAGCATGAATGTTATTGGAGGAGACAGCCTTCTCCTTTTCTGCAAGACTCCCTGTATCTGCCTAAATGTGGCTTTTTTTCATAACCCCCATGCATTTTGGAGAGAAATTACTTCCTGTATCCCTTCCCCATATTCAGAGTTTCCTGCAAAGCAGACAGGCAGGTTGCTATGACCTGCTTTGGTCCCTCCAGCAACCTGCTTTCCCTGTCAGCCTCCCCATGCTTGCACTGAACTATTTACTTATTTCTGTTGCTCATGTAGTCACTGCTGAGTGAATTCAGCCCTCCTTCCTTCAAGAGATGAGAAGTCAGCTTCACCACATTTCTGTAGGAGACTGCTTTATTCCTAGCAAATTTTTCACATAGCTATGTTCATAGGAGATCCTGTTTTGTTAATATTCAACTATTTTTTCCATGTCACTATGAACTCTTGGTGACTTTTCTTCTTTGTGCAGGTTCAACAACAAAGAATGGCATCTGAAAAGTTCATTGAAGATGCATTAATGAAACAGGTGAATGAGTCAGATGTGAATGCCATCGTGGGATCCTTGGAAAGTCAGCTCTCATCTTCCTCTGTTGCAACTCAGGCAGTGGCAAATCATAATGGTAGCACAGTGATATCAAATGTGAGACCTCCAAATAACATAATTTTGTCTGGGACTCCTATCTCTTCCTCTAATGTGGCCACTGGTGAAGCTCCATCCTCTCGACCTCATTTAACTGGCTCCCCTAATTCCATGATAGCTTCACATGTTTCTTCTCTTTCCTCAGCAACAAATGCCATTCGTCCAAATCAGGTCCAAATTCTGAATATGCCCAGCCAAGCTGTAAGAGCCAGTGTTCGCCCTGTATTGCCTGTTTCTACAACTGCCACAGCAGCTTCCAAGGGACAATCCATTAATGCTCCTGCAGTGGTGATAGGACCTCAACAAGTTGGAAACAGGCCAAGTGCACCTGGTGCAACCCAGCTCCCTGCACCTGCTCTGCAAGCTTTACAGCAAGGTAGTCAGGGACATTTCCTCCTAAGGACAGAAAATGGACAGCTTCAATTGATCAGGGTTACTCCAGGATCTGCGATAGGGCCTGCATCATCTCCAGCCACTGCTGCTGCAGCACCTAATCCTAATGCTCCCACTGGCCCTGGAACACCATATAGGTTACAAACAGTGCGTCCAGCAGTGGTCAACTCAATTGCCACACCTATTGGTACAAGTGTCTCCCCAGCAGGGCATGTTAGTACAATCTCCACAGTTCTGACTACAATTGCTCCTCCAGGAAGTAACACAATTCATGCTCAGTCTATTTCTCCACAGATGACTCCTGAGACAGCAAAAATGAAGTGCAAGAACTTCCTATCCACTCTTCTCCGCCTTGCCAACGAGCAACCTGAGAATGTTGCTTGCAATGTCCGCAACCTCATCCAGGGACTGATTGATGCCAAAGTTGGAGCTGAAGAGTTCACACAAAAGTTGCAAAGGGAATTGAATTCTTCACCTCAACCGTGCCTTGTTCCATTCCTCAAGAGAAGTTTACCATATCTTAGGTACTCCTTGGCAACAAAGGAACTTGAAATCAGTGGGTTGAACCCACCTCCCCTTTCTTCTGTGTCAACCGTCCCTGCCGGTGTAGGTGTTGCACCTGTCCCACAGTTACAAATCACAAGACCAAGTGCAACAGTGCCCCCACAGATCCGGATGGTGTCCCCCAGTATTATCCAACAGCCTGGTATGACTCAGCCAAGAGTGGCTTCACCTGTCAGAGTACAAACTAGTGTCGGAAAAACTGGCAGTGCCTCTGCTGTTCCTTCAGCTCCTCTGGTCAATGGAGTTGCCCTCACGGTCACTCCGCAAATACAGCCTCCCAGACCTAGTGGTCCTGCCAAACCTCCTGGGAAAGATAAAGGTGAAAAGAAAGGAACCGGTGCCTTCTCATCTTCAGGCATGAGGGATGAAGATGACATCAATGATGTTGCTGCAATGGGTGGAGTGAACTTGCTGGAAGAATCTCAGCGCATACTTGGGTCCACAGAATTCATTGGGACACAGCTCAGGTCCTGCAAGGATGAGATTTTCTTTGATTCTGATACTCTACAGAAGCACATCAGGAACTTGGTGAGGGAAAAGGGATTGGAAGAACCCGGATCAGACATTGTGGCAATGGTGTCGCATGCAACGCAGGAACACCTCAAGAATCTAGTGGAAAAATTAGCATTTATTGCCCAACATCGGTTGGACATTATTCGAATGGATAGTGCTCATGAGCAGAGTAGTGATGTCAAAGGCCAGATACGCTTTCTTGAGTTGGTGGAGAAGGCTGAGCATGAACGTCATAAGGAACAGGAGAGGGAAATGCTGCTTCGAGCAGCTAAATCCAGGTCAAAAGCAGAAGATCCAGAACATGCAAAGCTGAAAGCCAAAGCAAAAGAAATGCAAAGAGCTGAACTTGAGGAACTGCGTCAGAAAGAGGCCAATCTCACTGCTCTTCAAGCAATTGGGCCCCGGAAGAAGCCCAAACTTGACACAGCGTCTGTACCCAATCCTGGTCCCCAACTACCGATGAGGCCACGCTTAAAACGTGTGACCATGAGAGACCTGGTGTTCCTGTTAGAACAGGAAAGAAACTCGGTGCGATCATCTGATCTGTACAAACTGCTTTTAAAATGACAGGAGTTATGTGATAGTCTCCTTGTCGCATATCCTGCAATGGGAATTGTGTGTGGATACTTATATTGCAAGAGAGTTTCAACCCTATTTAGCAAATATTTGAATTTATGCTATTTTGGTGGAGAAAAGCTAAGGAGTCAGTCATAGAACTTTTTTTTTGTAGGTATTTTGCCCCTCATTCAAATTGTTCAACACATGAAGTCAAATTTCACTCTGATTATTTTTTGTGCAAATGCAGATAATATATTGTGCTGTTATGCACTCCTAGATCAATCCTATGCCGTGTAACTGCCTTGTTTCTCAATTTTTCTATTTTTTCGCCCAATTTTTCTGCAAGTAAGGATGATTTCTTTTTTTGTCAGTGGTGTTTGATCACAGTCATCCAAGAGGGCTGCAGAAAGTACATTCAAACTGGAATTTTGCATTTAAAAAATTCCTTCTAAAAATTATTCAGAGATTATCATTTCTTTGACTGAGATATGGTAAGTGTGTACATCCAAACAAAGACATGAACGCCTGTCTGTCTTCTAGTTGTTTGTTAAGCAGGGAGATGAGCACACCATGTGACTTTTTCTTACACCTCATGTGTAAGATTTTATATTTGAAAAATAAAATGCCTTCTGGAGAGTGGTGATTTTTCATTGTTAATGAAGATACTTGCAAAAGTGATTAGGGGTAGATATCTTGCAATCATGTGGAATTTGAATGCATGAAAAAATACCTATTCATTCCCAAAAATTTATATTTTGGTGTCAGGGTGGCCAAAAAGAGCTGTACTTGGCAGTACTCTGTGATTCCTGCAAAAAGTAAAAGGATGGTATTTTGAGGATTAAATCCTTAGCTGATCTTGAAAAGACAAAAACTCGTGTATGAGTTGTATGATTGTAATGAAATATGTACAATTTGATAGAGATGTGCTTCCAACTGTTGTTGAAGATTTTCTTGCAATAATATGCACTCACAAATTCAAAGGAAAGTGACTCATTTAGAAACACTCTACTGAATGTGACCTTCATATCCATTGATGAAACAACCTGCATAAAATTCACCTATGTTTTTAAGATCAAGCAGGAAAGAGACTGTCCCTCTTCCAGTTTGAAACATAGTCATTCAAAACTAAGAATTGTTGAACACTGATTCTCAGGGCGATAAATTTGTTTTGAATTTAAACTGAATTAAAAATTTTTCTGTGTCATCATTTAACCCTTATCCAGGCAACAGGAGTCCCTTGCATTCCCCAAGGGATATTTCATTGTGTTACCTTCTGGCAATTTATTGTAATTGTATGCAAATTGTATATAGATATATATTTTAGACAGTTATCCATAGATTCAAAAATGAATTTATAAAGTTTTGACTTTCTTCTATGGGAAAAATGGATGCCCTTGTCCCCTTGTGTCGCTAAAAGACCTTGCCCTGGTAAGAGTTAAAGAAGTTCGAAACACTGGCGTTAGCCATTTCATTTCATTTCAAGCCCATTTCTAACACTAGGCCGGGACCAAAGCTGAGTGGAATTCAGGTATTGTGCTATTGGCTTTCCATTGGTTTACTTTAAGTTGTTCCAAGTATCCAACTATCATAGCCTTGAAACTTCTCTCATTGCCAAGTATGAGGTGAAAGGTGGAATGCCACTTTTTTGAGCCACCTAATACTTAAATGCTGTGGATCTATTTGAATGTTTCCATTCTATTTCTTCGAAGAACATTCTTTGTGACCCTTTGTATCTTTGGCTGGGACTGAAGCAATTACCCACTATCCCTTTCATGCGTAGTGTAACATATGCTACATTCTGAACAAACAAAAAAAAAGAAAAAGAACAGCAAAAAGCAACTAAAAGTGAAGCAGTAAAATCTTAGGGCCTTCAGCTCACAAATCTGAAGAATTAAATTTTTTCCGTTTGGGAAAGTTTAAAAGTTAATGGGTGATTTTTTATTTTTTGTGAATAAATATCAATATTTGGTCAGTATTTCATTTAGGTTCTATAATGCGGGAAAAACGCGGAGAAAAATCCCTTGCTCAAATTTGTAAGTTGAAGGTTAAAACTTTTTATTCTTGCACTTTATGTTGCATTATTACTTTTTATTAGGGCCGTTGATCAATTGCAAAATTGAATCGATTAATCGTGAGCCATTTAATCGATTCCTTAGTTCCTCCTTGAATTATGCCCTCGGCGTTGGGCATGATTCTGCTTGTGTCATGTCCAACACCTAGGCAAGCCTCAGGAAGGTGATGCAGTCGCTCAAGGTGATGCAGTCGCTAACGTAGCAGTTACCATCCATTCATACACAAGTTCAACCTACATGTGACACATTCCAATCGGAGAGAGAATAATTACAACGTAGCCAGATTAATAATGACACGTAAGTAAAGAAGCGCACTGAGGCCCTTTGTCGATTAACCCATGCCGGAAGGATGCAAAAATGGAGGTATACAGTGACACTTCATTACGCGGAGATTTAAAGATTCGTTATCGATTCACGAGCAACACGGATTGAAGAGAAGAAAAAGAAAGGAATAGGAAAAGGTTTCTCACTTTCGTTTTCTCTCGCCTGCTCCCAGCTTTCCCCCTCTCCCGGTTCCTTCCCATGGGCTCCCTCAGACCGCCGACGTACTTAAACGTACGCTTCTCACTCCCAGTCTTTCTTTACATTATCCTCTGTCCTGCCCCACCTCCCCATCTAAATCTTCTATTCCTTCTGCGCATTCCCATGCTGCTCCTTCATTGCGACTTTCATTTTCCCATTCATATCCTGTGACTTTTCGCCCGCTTTTGGCCGCTGCTAGCCTACCACGTACCTTCGCCTGACGCGCGAGGCCTGCAAGGTTATACGCGATGCGTACCAGTACGCTTGTGGACACGAATGGATCAGGAAGCTTCATATTTGGAATAGTCTGAACGCGACAGCTTTGTTTTTTTTTTTGTGTGTGTTCCCCTTTCCCAAAAATAGTAAGTAATTTTTTAGGAAGAGTGAGCAGTGCGAAAATGACACCTTCTATAAGTCAATCATTTCATTTCATTCCCTTGATGAGGCATTCGTTTTCGGTTGTTTTGCAAAACTATGAACCACAAAGTCATATTATAAAGGGAAAAAGGAGCCATTCAGGGGAAGATTAAGATTCGATTCATTTCGAATACATTTTTAAAATCGAGATTAATACTTTAATCGATTAATCTAATCGAATTGACAGCCCTACATTTTATTGTTGTTTGTTATTAAAATAATTTTTGTTTTCGGATGTAGCATATCTGCTTCACCATGCATAAAAGGGTTATTGATCAAATTTGTTGCTATTGCCATTTAATTTTGCTTTTGCCAACATTTCATGACAAGAGCTCCAGGTGCACCAAATTTACAAATGAACTCAGAGCTATCATTTGAACACACAGAGAAATTGCATTCCAAGCTTGGTGGTTGCATCTTAACTTTTTGCTCATACCCAACTGTTTTGATGATGCACAATCGGTGGGGGGAAACAAACTCGAGATGCTGGAATGAATATCCTTTTATTCTATGCAGAGCGATTTCATCTTTCTCCTAATTATTATGGAGGCCCAATGAATTGGTCCTCCTTCAGAACAAGGTCAACCTCATGAATGAGTCCATTTGATGCTTCAATGTCCGTCTCGAGGAGTTGAGCCAGGAATTCAAAGGTAGCCCATCCTTCATATACCAGTTTTAGTCCTGTGGAGCAAGGGGAGGCGTTTAAAGATTTGTAGTTATATTCATGAGATGAAAAGACCTAATACAATTTGGAATCCATCATACCGTCAGGAATACTTGTCACGTAGGATAAGATGAGGCGTTCTCCACTACGGGTCTCGAAAATGCTCAATTCGGGTATGTTTGAAAACAATTCGTCGGTCTCGAGGACGTGTCGCAAAGCCATTGTACCGTGAACCTCAGGATCGGGATTTGCCATCACCTCATCGTACCAAATTCCGACGTTCTCTTCATTTGTTGGTGCCAGCAGCGTGATTCCAGGCTCTTGAGGATAATTAAAAGACACAAACTGTTACAAAGGGTGTCATTTCGATAGCTACTTTGAATTCCATCCATGTCGACTTGCCCAACAGAGTTGACTCTAGGCCGAGGGCAGTGAAGATTTCAGCGATTTTCTGAAATCTGGGATCTTCGTTCAAGATGTCCAAGATGGTGCCAGGTTCTTGCTTGACTCGTGCTCCTCCAGCCAGAACCTGTCAGCATTTCTCAGCATGGGTCATTCAGTCTAAAATTCACTTGTTAAGGTTTTCTTGCCAGTGATTAATTCGGTTTTCAGTTGGTGAAGCATCATGGTTTTTTTTTTTTTAACTTCCTCCTTTGTCTATTCTGTGTTTCCTTTAACTTACTTGGATTGGATCCGGGACCAGAGAGTGAGATAACAAATCCGTTGAGATATCGGGTCAGTTGGGTTTGACAATTGTCAAACCCAATTGACCGAATTCTCCAGCCTGGGCTTTCCCAGCACAGGCTGGGATTATTTTCAAGCCCAGCCGACTCATTATTTCTTAACATGGGTCATTGCTTCCACATAACAGCAGATATGTGTTGTGGCAAGATTACTTTCAGTTAATGTGACGTTAGAGTGCTGATAAAAATGTACCATTCCGGAAAGAAGAAGATGGGATGACTCTGTCCAGTAGTTTCAGTAGAGTTTGCAAAATTACATCCACGACTGGAATGGAATATGGGTCTCAAATATCATTTGCATCACAAGTACGAGTGTTCCCATCCTGGTTCTGCAAATTACAATGACTGTTGGGGGACCGAAGCTGTGAAGACTGGAAGGGAACTAGCATCGGTGACAAGACCCGTCTACCCAGGCCGGGGGATCAGGTGTTTTTGTACTTGACCCTTAAAGTGCCAGAGCCGATTAGAGCGGCGCTACGAATTTCGCTTCAAAATGCCAGAGTAGAAGAGCTGGCTCTAAAATAGTGATGAGCAACCTTTTTTGCCTGCGGGCCGCAAGCGAACCTTTCAGCTTCCCGGCGGGCCGCAAGT